TCTTACAGCACTGCTGTCATTAGTCTTCTGTCACACTGTTGGGCTTTCATGACTCAGGCATTAAAAAAACCAAATAACCAACCCTCTTTCTGAGCTAAAATAGCCTAACAACAGTTTTAAAAAGCAAATCTTAATACAAATAATTAGGTCATATTTTCTTTCTGAAAGCTTTTAATAGGACTCATGATTTTACTGCTTGAACTGAAGCAACTTGAATGCTTAATTATTATTTTTGAACAAAATTCAATACCATTAAAGTCACTTGAAAGCTTTGATAGATTAAAAAAAGAAGAAAGAGGTCTTGAATGTTCATTTACTTTAAAAATGACTATGACTGTTTTGCAGTTGAGGTCAGTATTTCTCAGCAGATCTCTAATACATCAGAAAATGGTTCCTGAAAGAGGAGAAAAACTTAAAAATAAATATGTGCACATTTCTGCTTATATAAGCAAGCAAGCAGAACAGGGAAAATAGAGGTAATAAAATAAGTGTCAAAGCTGAGCCTAGATTTTACTGTGTTGTAAGTGAAAATTGCTGTAGCAGTGCTGTATGAGAAAGTGCATGGCCCCTCAAAAAAAAAAAAAAAAGGCTGAGAATGGTGATGTAAGGCATGCTTGCAGCCATGGTGTAAACCATCCTGATACCCAGGTTATGCCCAAGTTATGAGTACCTCTGACTAAGCTAGTGAGGTGCCACCTGAGATGAAAACGGAGATCTCAGGAGAAATACAGGCACATCAGGTATCTCTGTGTGACTTTGCATTGTCCAGCACAGGTAGGTCCCTACCACCCAGATCTCCTCCACTGTCCCCCTTCTCATGCAGTCTTTGGCAGGTGGAAATGCTGCTCAAGAAGGCTGCTGGGTGTCACGGGTGGAGGATCTGTTTGCGTGTGGGGAGGTGCAGTGGTGGTGGCTGGGGCTGGTCCACAGCCCTTCCCATGAGGTCCTTCCACATCAGTCAGTCACATGGCTTTACTCCCACCATCCTGGCAGTGAGGGGCAGCTGTCTGGCACCTCCTTGTTTCCAGTTTGTGAAAAGAAATGAGATCGTCTACACATTCCTTCAGGCCAGAAAATTTATCAACAAGATTACTGATCTTAATCCACAGTCAAATTGAGGTAGCGTGTCATTCACCTCCTTCCCTGCCAGCACTCAAGCTCCCCAGTCTTGTGTCTTTGCCCTCCCAGACTACTGTTTCCATTAACCCCTCTGCTTCCACCAGGGATGTGGAAAAACTAATTGACTTCAGATGCTGGTTTTTGGGGCAGTGCTGCACTGGCCTGGCAGGATCAGATCTGGCTAACTCCAGCCAGGTCAGAGGAACTGCAGCAGAATGAAAACAGCGCCCCAGGAAGTGAGGTAAGAGGAGAGGACTCCTCTCTTTCTCCTGGCACAGCTCTTGTGGAGGAGCACACCTACTCTGCTCCCTGGCTCTGTGCAAAGACAAGCAGCACCTTCTGTGCATGTGGCTCTGGGTAACGTGGTGGCTTTGGAACCCATAGGGGTTAGAAATGATTCCTTGTGAGAGCTGGGATTTGGCCATATGGACTGGACTGTACCAGCTGTGGGAGGCACCCTAAAGATATCCTCCATAGGAGAGCCAGGACCTGCCTAACACAGAGGCAGTGATGCTCCTAGGGTTTGCAGACTGAGAGGCTTCTGCCTATACGCTCATGCGTGAAATAATTTCTTACCTATCCAGCAAGATGGATTGGGTTTGAGTAGCATGGTTTTGGTAGAGGCGGGTGCTACAGGGGTGGCTTCTGTGAGAAGCTCCTAGAAGCTTCCCCCATGTCTGACAGAGAACCACATAAGAATATCTATGAAGACTATGGTACGTACTGGTCTTTTGTGAGCTCAGTCATGTAGGTAGTTTGTTCACCAGAGTAAAACCCTTGGTGAGAACAATCACTAGTTTGAGGCACAATTTGGAAATTACAAGGCAGGGTGAACAAGATTTGTAGTGCTACCACAAAGGCACCCCGAGGAATATTAAAGCAGGCTTATTCTAATAATTATTGTGAGCATTTGAGATAAACACTGAAACTGAGCAACATGTGGTTTTTAAAGTCCTTGGTTTAATCCACTCTCAAGATGGCACATGGGGAAGAGATCATCTGTATGGTTTTTGTATTAACTTTTGTCATAAAGAGAGCTATTGAGCCTACATCAAATCTTTAAGGTCAGTGGAATGTTTTCTTCAACTATTTTTTTTTTACAGGATTCTGTTATTTGGCTTTGCTATGCAAATAAGCTTTTTGTTTGATAATGTGATTCATTTCTGACTTATCTTTAAATGTTTTCTAGTCTTATGAACAAAAGATTTCTGTGACTTTATCTAGCAATTTACATATGAGCAGAGGGTCATGCAACTGTGTCCTGTGTGAAATATCAGTAAAATAAAAATAACCCATTCAAATAACCAAGCCAACTGTGGATGAAATGGCAAGGCAGGCTGACTTTAGGATAAAGCACTAATCAAAAGGAGACATGACTTTTTGGTGGAGTCTGACTTACTAAAAACACATTAGGAAAATGAAAATACTATTTTGGTCAATATGGAGAAGTGTATGGACAGCAAACTGTATGGTGTGAAGAAAGAATGGCATCAGAACCAGCTTCAGAACAAGTAAAAGACACCAAAAGGAGTTAATTATGCCTCAAGGGGGAGTAAAATATTAAGGTTATGAGGAGAGGGAGGGAGGGAGGGAGGGAGGGAGGGAAGGGTGGATAGAGATATCAGCTTAAAGAGAATTAATTTCAGGTCTTTGGCTCAGCAAACGTGCAGTTACCTGCCTATTTAAAGATCAGTGGCTAGTTTCAAAATATGGTGTCAGAGCAAGGTACTGCCTGGGTGGAAGAGCCTTAAGAAACCTGTGGACATATTTCTGACTGTCCATGCTGAGTACCTGAAGCCCTGAAATACTTATTTTCATGTTTCTTGCCAGCATTCCCACGTTTTAAAGCTGCTTCCCTTCTCACCAGTCCATTCAAGACTGATGGAACTGAAAGTACCCAGCAATTGCTGGATGGGCTGGTCTGTGGGCTCAGTCTGCTCATCTGCAGATGTGTGCCTGCCTACAATGAATCAGTTGACCTTTAAACTCCTAGCTCTTTGGGCTTAAATAGGATGGTAATAAATACAAAAGCAACATACTGCCATCTCGTAGGTTCGACCTTGTATCTTTGTGCAGAGTTCAGCAGTACCTTTCACATGTGAAGATGCAGTGGAGTTTAAAGCTGTTCTGAGCGGCTTTTTGTCACCTTGGTGGTCTATGCTGTTCTGCTGAGATCTGTCCTGGTTCTGCTTGCAGATCTTTTCAAGCAGTCCAGGCATTGCCAGGTATTTAACACCTGACCTGTGCCCTGTTACAGTTCTACAGAGTGCAGCTTTCCAGGATTACATAAACTTATATCTGAAGGTGCTGGCTGGGTTCATAAACAGCAGAATGGTTTTATGAGCTGGTGTGCATACATACAAGTGCTTCAATCATACTGATTCAATGCCTGAAATAAAATGTATTGCTGATATGTGGATCTTACAGTAGATTCAAGTACATTTTGGTGAAATAAACCCTTGGTATTCTCCTGTGAAATCACAGAGAGGTATTCTTCTCTTGGTATTCTCCCGTGAAATCACAGAGTGGAATAATTTTAGCTCTTGAGGTTTTATTCTGTATTAAATTATTTTTAAAACTGACTGATTCTAGTAGCCACTGACAAGTACAATCTCTGTCTGCTAATAGTTCTGTTTTCTTTAGATCTGCTTTCCTAAAGCTTTTGAGAAAAGATATAGGTTCAACATGTTCACCTTCATTTAAATTACTGTCAGACCAAAATTTTCCATGTACCTTGTGTCTGTGAAAAAGACTGCACAACATGCTGGTTTAGGGGAAATCACAGATTTATAGATCTTAGAGCAAAGGGAGAACACAATGTTCGCTAAACTGACTGCAGCCCTGCCCAGACTTTAGGTTCTTTTATTTAACTCAGCAGCTTGAGGTTGACCAAAAGTATAATTTTGGAATGATAGCCAGGCTTGATTTAAAGACTGCTGCAGAGTTTGTCACAGTCATTGGGATTTTGTACCAATGGTCAATTACCCTTTCTCTGAAAAATGCCCTTTCTCTGAAAAATACCCTTTCTCTGAAAAATGTGTACCTTATTTTTTTGGAACTTTGTTAACTTCTTTCTTCTAAAAGCTGGATTTTGCTGCTTGACAGCCTCAGCAGGACTAAGGAGCCTTTATTTAACTACATATGTTTCTTGTGGTTGTTAGTTTGTATTGCCACAGAAAAATGTCAGAAATATTTCTTTGTACTCAGAAGCACTGTTAGGCAGATATCCTTTAGACCCCAGTATTCCTGTGCTAAGGATCTGACATAATTAAAATCTAGAATCTTAGAAAAGAGTTGATATGACTATGATGCTTTCTATTTCAGTTACCAACCACTGGTTTATGATTAAGTCTAATTAATTAATGGCTTGGGTGTCAGTACTGGTGAAGAAAGGGTTTTTGGTATATGCTGTACTTATACTGTAGGAATCACGGTTGTTTCTGTGTTCCTCAAAATACAATTTTTGGCATTTCCTTGAGTGTATCAAACATGCTTTGCAAATGGCTTGAGTTCTCTGTTACTGGTTTTTCCATAAACAATTCCCTTGGAGTCATATGGCCAGATATATCAAAAAGTATCTGGTCCATGGTCCAATTTTGCCTTGTGCCTAGGCACAATCAATAATTACTCTAAGTCTGCATTATCTTCCTTCCATTCTTTTCCACTGAGAAGTTGAAGTGAAATCAACATATTATTTTCCCAGAGAATGAAAATTAAAAAGAGTTTTTGAAAAGCTTGAGCAGTAACCTGTGTCCTGTCTCACCTGGTTTCTTTCCCTTAGGAACCAAGTAAGATCAATGGGAGACACTGTCAGTAAATCCTGCCTTGATGCATTTGTCTCATTGATTTATGAGTAATTATTGTTCCTCTTTTCTCCTTAGGGCTCTTCCTGCAATGATGGAGTGGGTCCGAACTCAGAAAGCAGGAGAGAGTGGTGTGAATATTATCACTGCAGATTTTGTAGAACTTGGTGACTTTATCAGCACAGTCATAAAGCTCAACTATTCTCTGGATGAAGGTGAAGATGACACTACTTGATAGTACTGTGATATGTGTGTTGTTGCATTATTCAGAATTCAAAAAAAAAAAAAAAGAAAGATTGTATTCTAAAAGGATTATATTGTAAAACACTCATCTTCTTGTAACACACTGAGGTGTTTAGGGCTTTAGTGGGTGGGCATAAGGGAAATGTTTTCATCATTTATGATCATTATTCATATTTGTGTTTAGTGTGAAGAGTAAAACTAAACATGTTTACAGTGTTTGATAAAAGAAGGCCATTTACAGGTTCTCCGTGAGGTACCAAATGTGATTCATGTGTCTTCTGTGGTTATGAACAGTGCCAAGAAATTTGTTGTTTTCAGAGCAAGGGGATGTATATATTGTCCTCTTCCTGCTCACAGCAGGATTCCCAGTGGTGTGAGCATTGCACCAGGAGACTGAGGACAGTATATCTGGCACAAAAATTTTAAGCTGATACATTTCATCTGTTAGGTGGTTTAACTGATCATATTTATCAATGAGCTGCAGGTTTAAATGCCTTTGTGATATAAATCCAAAGTCATGCTTCTAACACATGCATAATCAGTGGACAGTAAACATGACATGCTATGTACCATAATCAGTGGTAAACATCATGTACTGTGTAGCTTGCACAAAGCACAGATGAAATCTTGCTTGCTTTTCATTCTCAAAATGGGGTTTTCCAATGTCTCTGCCTCAGGTCAAGCCAGCAGGTATGTGATACTGGCCTAACTGTAATCACAGAATGGCCTGGGTTGGAAGCTTAAAGATCATTTAGTTCCAACACTCTGGCAATTGGCAGGACACTTTTCACTAGACCAGGTTGCTCCAAGCTCCATCCAAAGCCTGGCTTTACACACTTTCAGGTATGGGGCATCCACAGCTTTTCTTGGCAACATGTTCTAGTGCCTCATAACCCTCACAGCAAAGAATTTTTTCCTAATATCTAATCTAAACCTACTCTCAGTAGCCATTCCCCCTCGTCTGTCACTACATGCCCTTGTAAAAAGTCTCTCTCCACCTTTCTTGTAGACTCCCATCAGGTACTGGATGGCCAAAATTAGGTCACCCCAAAGCCTTCTCTTCTCTAGATGGAACAATCCCAATTCTCTTAGCCTTTCCTCATAGGAGAGGTGATCCATCCCTCTAATCAACTTCACAGCCTCCTCTGTACTTGCTACAAAAGGTCTGTGACCTTTTCATGCTGGGAGCCCAGCTCTGGATGCAGTGCTCCAGGTGGGTCTCAGCAGAGCAGAGCAGAGGGGCAGAATCCCCTCCCTGCCCTGCTGCCCACGGGGCTCTGGATGCAGCCCAGGACACGTTTGGCTCTCTGGGCTGGCAGTGCCATGGCCGGGGCATGTGCAGCCTCTCACCCACAGCACCCCCAAGCCCTCCTGGGCAGGGCTGCTCTGGGGCTGTTCATGCCCAGCCTGGGCTGCGACCAGGGGATGCCTGTGCACTTAGTTTTGTTAAACCATATAAAATTCCTATGGACACACTTCTCGAGCTTGTCCAAGTCCCTCTGGATGGTATCTCATCCTTCAGGTGTGTCAACAGCACCACTCAGCTTGGTGTCATCTGCTAATTTGCTGAGGCTGCACTTGATTCTTTCATTTACACCATTAATGAAGTTATTAAACAACACTGGTCACAATATGAACCTTTAGGGACAGCTGCTGGTCCACATTTTCCCTGGTTCCATCAGGAACACAGGCCAGCTTTGAGCCCCACTTCTTCCCAGGATTAATCTTATGTAAGAGCCTGATCCCATGTCCTGAGTATGAAAATGACTGTGTTTAGCATGGATTGAGCATAAGGTGAGTTGTGCATACTCTAACATGTGCAGTATTTTGTCCCATGGTAGAAACCTGATTTCTGCAAGACTGAAATTGCACTTAAAAATTGGTGCAGTCTAGGTGCAGTCTAAGCCTCTCTTTAAGGCAGCTATGAGCAGAACACTTTTCCACTGATTACAAAAAATCAGTGCCAGTTTCATCAGTGAAAAGTTCCTGTACTAAAGAATGTAGTAGTTCAATTCTAGCTAATAGCAGTACTCTATAGTCCTTAAATTGTCTGTGGGATATAATACTGCATAACACAAGATTGAAAATCTACTGAATAGCACTGTTCCAGCAACAAAATCACTGATCATCCTAGCTTTAAAGAAACATATATAAAAAGTAAATGGGAAACTTAGCAATTTATAAAATGAGAGCATTGCAACTGTATGACACCTAACTGGATAAAATACAGGCAGTTTTATCTCCTGGACACATCAATACACACGTACAAGACTTTGGAAAATAAAACATCTTGTCTGTACAAAACAATAGATGCTATAACGTCTTACAAGGAAATGTTCTTTGAAATACTGTAAGGATTTATGGGATAGAATTAAGGTCAAATTTCTCTTGATATTACTAGAACTTTTGGTTGAGTGAGAAGAGAGAATTGCATCATACAGTCCATTGCTCTTTTCTGTTAGATGATAATGACTACCATCTCCCATCAGAGTTTAGAAATTCAGAAATGGCCATATTGAAGAGATGGGTAACAAGCATTATAGGGGGTTTGTTTGCTTTAGTTTAGAGAGTGAAATAAAAAGAACACTTCCTGCTGTTTTGTACTGAGAGGGTGCCTTGGAAAAAGTGTATGCACATGTGAGTGTAGAATAAAGAATAATTTAAGTGTATGTGTAGTATAATGACACACTTAAATGTATGTGTATAACATATGCATCCTTGTACACTTGCATAATGATCTTTGGGGTTCTGGACAAGACTACTATAAATTTTAAAAAAAGCCCATGCAGCTGCTATGAAGTCATGATGGCTCTTTCAGTAGCATTCTCTTCTGTATGGGTTAGGACTGTACAAGTCATGCCCAATGAAGTCTGTGATCTAAGCTAGTTAGGTTTTTAATGGCATTTAAGCTTCATCCAGACCATGTCAAAAATTTACCTAGAGTCACAAGTTATGGTTTTGTTGAACAAGGGGTATGACTTTAATGCTTTCACCCACAACTAAGCAAGTTATAGAGTGGCTTGATAGACTTTGTTTCTGTTTTCCACAGGCTCTCCAAGTAAAATTTATGTAACAGACATACAAAATGAAACATGAAAATAAATTTTGAACCCACACCTATGTGGGTGTCCTACATAAAAATGTGAAAATGTTTGCTTATTTATTGGCAGTGTAGTGTAAAATACTCTTTTTTCTATTTAGCTGGAGTTGGCTGTTTCTAGACTCCTCCTGTGATTCTTCAGTTGCTCAAATATAGTGAAAAGAATTAATCTATCATTCTTGTACAGTAAAGTGATCTGAATCCTTGGGTGGAGTGAAAATTAGGTTTACATTTTGAGGGTTTTTTGGATTCTGGCTGAAATTCTGTTGCATCTGAGAGCATCAACACCAGGTTTCTGCTGGTCCCCTGCTCAAACACACACCAGACACACCAGGCTTTTCGCTTGCTCAGAGGTATACTCAAGGCAAATGCTTTGCTGTATTTTAAAAAGTGTATGTGTGTGCCTGTATATATGAATAAGTGTAGAGCTATAGAGTTTGTTAGTATTGTTATGAAATGTTTGCTTAGTGTCAGTTTTATTCTAATTCTCATTTGGAAATAAACAGAAAGTAAAAGCAAAGCAAAAAAATCCTCTGACAAGAAACAAAAATAGACAAATTGTATCATTTGTCCATTAATGGGGACAAATACTAGCAAAATCTTAAATTCTGGTCAGAAAAAAAATGTTTTCATTTAGCTGTCAATCTTTCTATTGGAGAAGCACAGCACTTTATGGTAGGAACAGGTAAACAAACTTGCCTTAATTACTAAAAGAAAAAAGTGCATGTGGGGATATACTATCCATGCTCTTCTGAAGATTTCATCTGTGAGGGCCTAAAACTGTAAGTCCTGATAGAGATGCACTCCCTGTTGACGTTGTTTGGGGATCTTGCCAAAAAAGAACAAGCAGAAAGTACTATGCAGCACAACTGGACCATTCAACAGCCCAGTTTTGCCACCCATATGCAGCTAAAATTGTCTTTGATTTCAACCAGAAATGTGCTTGCAGGGTTGGGTCAGATTTGTTTTTCTGATCCCATGAACTTGGAAGGCTTCTTCCCATGCAAGATTCATGAGGAATCTTGCATGGGAAATTAGTTGACTGTAATCAGCCCATCAAGGAAAAATACCTGTCTACACTATTGATCTGTATAAGCATCTACTTACTCAAAATGTCATGTCATTCACCGCCAAAACATTTTTTTCCTTCTTCTGCTTATTTTCCCCCTCACTATGTTCATCGTGTATACACTGAGTTCTGTTGTTTTCTGGCAGTTTCATGTGATTACTTGATCTTTTATTTTTACCCATACTTGAAAAATGGCAACTGTGCTGCACAAACAGAATGTCTCAGCAGTGCAAACCCACCTGGCTCCATTTTTCAGTTTACACATGCTGAGACATCTTCATTCCATACTGATCTAACCTGCAGAAATCCAGTCCAAACAGGAGGTGGTTCCTGGAGTGCAATTCCTGCCTTGTATGGTGAGGGCTGAATCGGAATCAGACCACAGGAGTGTAGTTTTAGAATTAGGGGGTTATTTGCATTCTTTTGCTGTTGGACAAAAACATTACTAGTTTTGTAGGTCCTGCTATTTCAAAACATTATTTTAAGTGTGCGCATGTATGTGTATATAAATATATATGCATGCATGGCTGAGAGGGAATGTATGATCCTGTATGCAGGGCTCAATCTTTCTGTCATACTGACACAAATCTAGACAGTTTCTACTAACTTCAAAGTAGTTACCAAGCCTTTGCCCTGAGATAAGAGTGAGCAGAGAGTCACTGTGTAGTAATTATAGGCTGTGTTGCAAGTGAAATTTAAAATTGTGGAGCTTAATTCCACAAAAGAAAAACAGAAAGAAGAGTGCCCTGAAAACACAGTTCCAGTGCTGTTTATCCTCAATTTAGTATATGAAGCACTAGTTATTAGCAACTGATTAGGCCATTTGGTGATTTCAAGAGTTCAGGTAATACCGTTTCAAAGTTCTAAATTCCTTTTCAGTGAAGTAAAAGCTAATAGTGTATGATGTATTTGCCATAT